AAGTCAGGAACCTCGTAAGTACTTGTATATTTTATCTTAACGTTTTCTCTAGTTGGAGAATCAGGTGTTGATAACAGATTGTTCATGTTAAATTTATTCACAACTTTTATAGACTATGGACGATTTTGCGCCTGATATATTGATGTATGGACACCTGCAATTTTTTGAAGACTGTATGTTGCCTTATTGATGTGTTTCTTGTATACTTGTTTGTTTAGGGGCCCGCTGAAGGACGCCTCCGGGTGCGGGAGTCTCTCGCTGCATTGAAGACCCATTGGTGGCCTTCGGCTGTTGTCTGCTCTATGGTCGGGTTGTTGTCTCTTTGACACATTCCCCATTTCCATTCTCAATTTTATTTGATAGTTTTTCGACTGCTATTTCATTGATGTATACCCTGCATTTCTTTTAATTAAAAAGAGGGACATTTTCTATGCATTATGCATAATATTACTGTAAAAAGTTGATGTGAAATATTTATGTACCGTCAGAAATATGATAATTATTTTTCATTTGTCTACCTTGCATAAAAAATAAAACGTATATACAATAAACTTTGATCCGGATGGATATCCACGTCTGGCCGTGCTGTCATACAAATTTCGAGCACGATTATCGAACTCAGACTCAGAAATCAACCAATCAAAATACTGTATTTTTGTACTCCGAGCACTGAGTACAGTTTTATGACCGAAAGCCCTGATCACGTCTTGGTACAATTTTTATAATTAGGTCTACAGTTATGTTATGGTCTACGTTATGGTAATTCATATCAGCCTAATCACTTCTCAATGAAATAAGTTACTGCTTTTGATATTTACGTGTCCAAACATATGCACACTTGTACTTTAATGCAATTAATCAGTACATCTTTTACATAATAGACCTGTTTTGAACCGTTCCACCTTGTAATACGATGTCATTTCCTGGAGCATGATTTAGGACTTACACATATTTTCTAATACATTGGTGACACATTCTTTTCTAGGTCACAATCCACCTTTTCACTTGTTACAATGTATGACATATACTAGTATATTTCATACGCTCTTTTATATGTGTAGGGTGAGCCTTGTGTTACACTAAGTTATTCAGTTGCACATCGTAGATTTAGATCTATCAAATTATTAGGCATTTCATATGTATATATATATATATATATATATATATATATCAGAAAATGAAATATACACAAAACAACATAAATAATCAAAATACATACGGGGGGGAGGGGGGGGGGGGGGGGGGCAACGTACAGCTTTCTACAGTAGACTGGTGTATATACACTATGCTGAGTTCGATATTGTCCAGAGTTTAGAAATATTGTACATAGATTTAATCAACATCATCAAAGATCTGTCATCAAATAAAATTATCTCAACCCTCCCCCTTTTTAATGAATTTATCTGAGAAAAGATAAATAGAAAATACTAAGGAAAACACAATGAACAAAAACAAAAAAAAAAGACGTGCAAAATTATTTAAACTATTATTATACAGAAATCGAAATTTGAGAAGCAATGACTTCACTAAAAACCGGAATGAACTCGTGTATTCGGATGAAGATTTATTAGTTACTACAGCGTAACATAAACGGATCACAAGTAAGCGGAGGAAGACAGTTTCAAATACGAGGGGCGCAACAAATAGTAGGCAATGTGACTTTTCTACATGTTCTCTATTCTTCGCAGTATAATTGTTCGTACTGTTTACTCCGCCTAACAGGTCATTATGATTAAAGAAACTTATGTTATGTACTGTAGTGGTGATAGTGCCAATACGAACAATCTATAGCTATAAGCAAGTCCGTAGAAAACGTTATCATGTAAGTGAACACAATGCATTAAAACCGGTTTATGACAATCATAATAAAAATTTCATTATGATAAAAAAAATGGTTAAACTGATGAAATGAAGTGTATTTTAATAATGATTTTTTTTACATTTAGAGATTAACAAATATGTGCATGTCGATGAACCACTAGCTCATCGAGGATGAATAATACTATTATTTTACATAAAATATCTTCTGTTTAAAATAGTTCATTAATATTTTGTCGATATTCTAACAAACATATAAAAAATAACTTTAGCCTAACACATTGAAGGAGACGTTTAAATCTGTCTGAGTTTTATCGTTCCCCCTTTTGACTTTATATAGCAGTGATTACTTAATTTACATACTTATGACATCTTTACTAGTATTGACAAATGTGAAAAAGGTTACATTCCACCTTCTGAATTTCTTTCAATTATGACAGATTGTATAGATGTTCCGGTTTTTATATGCGGTACATACAATAAAGATGAATGTATTTTTTTTATATTATTAAACGAACTCTTATGATTGAAGAAATTATCCTTAATATGCTGCTAGTTTTTATCTTCTTTTTTTATTGCTTTTGCTAGAGTTGCAAGCGCGGTAGTAAGCATCATGAAACAATAACATTTCAATTTAAAAGTAAGGCAGACTGATCTGGTTGACATTAAACCTATAATAGTACCGAGACGAACATATGTAAAATAATAATGTAGGTAGTATTTTACTGCTATTTGTTAACTTTTTGCATTCTAGAAAGGAGTACTCGTTTTTACTCTCATCCCCAGAAACCGAAAATATACGTTGACATTTGCGCGAGAAACATACCCAGGAACTTCAATTAATTGATTAAGAATTTTTAAATTTTCCCTAAATATCGTCCTATGTTTAGGGGTGAAGATTGCACAATCAGCAAGTGGCAATTGTTTATTTACATTTATACATTTACTCGCGTGATCATCATAAGGGCGCTTAATGATTGGATGCAGCCAGTTACAACTGTGACCGATGGAAATCATTACCATGTGGATCCGAAATTCTATCATAATCCGCAAAGGGTGGAGAGGAGGGGACTGGATCGTAACCCTTGGATAGCAAAGATGCCGTTTCAAGTATTATAGACTCAATAATACTATTGAAAATAAACTTACAGCAGGTGTCTACACATTGTAGCAGCTTCAAAACACTTCCCAAAATATAACTCTTTGAGTGTTTTGAAATTTTGAAGTTTTGAAGTTTCAGAATACACTAGAGTGTTTTGAACCTTAGGTTCCTAAACTATCTTCTAGTACCAAAACACGCACCAGTGATTGATTCCAAATTGCTTGAGAGAATTTTTTTTTATTTCTGCGTTTTTTTTCAATATATAAAGGGACATAACTCCAGAACGATAGAAGTGACGCCACCCAAATTCAAACTTGATCTATGTTTCGTAGTAATAGGCATTGTGTATAAATTTCATAACACTTGGTGGGGGCAAACTAAAGTTAGAGAACGGAAACCAATTTGGGACGTACGGACGGACAAGGGTAACACTTAATGCCACCTCCGGTGACGACGGTGGCATAAAAAAACAACAAACCGAATGACGACTGTTCTACGACCTGATTAAACAACCAAAAAGGATAAAAAAAACTTCAAAAATCTCTCCGAATACAGAAATTATAATGCAATAAGTTGAGTGGTTGCAAAAAAAATACCCTTCCCCAAAAATATTAAATTAATTTAAATTGAAAAATTTTATAATACCATTATATGACTGAACTGAACCTGTAAAATCTTTAATGATCTTTCGGGAAAAACAACATAAATTTTGTATATTATTGGGCATATTGCACAAATAAGAATTAAACATAAATGATTCTATTCGATATTTGTTTATTTTTAGTATTCACTTTGCAATCTAAGACTCTTTCATCTTGCAATAGAATTAAAACATTTTACTTTTCTACACTTTACACAATTCAAGTATTCCCAATTCCAAACTAAATGACAAATTGAAAGAGTTGGTCCTGCTTTGTTTCATAAAAAAGAATGTCCAACGTAGAAACAAGTATCTTATCTTCGGGACGGATAACTCGTGCTTTTTAAAAAAAACACTCTGTTTCAAACAAAAAAAAAACATCTAAAACTGACATTATCAAGATGCCTGATTTCTTGATTGACAACATACGGTATTTATTACGTTTGGAGGACGTGCTTTCCAACAAACAATCGGCATTCACAACGGAACCAACTATGCCTCTCTTCTTGCTGACTTGTTCCTTTATTCGTATGAGTCTGACTTCATACAAGAGCTTCTTATAAAGAATGAAAAGAAGCTAGCATTATCCTTTAACTTCACTTTCCGTTATACAGATGATGACATCTCACTAAATAATTGATAGTTTGGTGACTATGTTGAACGCATTTATATTATCCCAACGAACTTGAAATAAAGGATACATAAGATACAGTTAAGTCTGCCTCATATCTTGACTTACATCTAGAAATTAGCAATGAAGGTCGGCTGAGAACAAAATTTTACTACAAAAGAGATGATTTCAGCTTTCCAATTCTAAACTTTTCATTCCAAAGTAGCAACATTCAAACAGCGCCTGCATATGGAGTATACATCTCCCAGTTGATACAATATTCCAGGACTTGCGTTTCCTATCATTATTACCTTGATAGAGAGTAGTTGTTCATAAGGAAGTCTTATATTAAACCAAGAGTTCCAAGTGGTGAAGTTAAAATCATCCCTTCGAAACTTTTACGGACGCCATCACGAGTTGGTTGACCATTATGGAATATCTGTTTCACAGATGACGACGGATCTGAAAAGTTTACAGTCAAATCGTAATTGCTGACAAAGGCGCACACAATTTAAGCGAATAAGTTGCAATCTTATTCTAATGAACCGCGATACTTACGATTAGCTTACCATCCAGTCATTAAAACGGAAAAAGTGTAATACATACATACGGAAATAAAGGCATTTATTGTTACCTATGTGTCTGATAGTATATTATATCATTTTTTTTTCTTCTAAATATCGAATTGATCTAGGAAGATGAGGATCCTCTCTCATTTAAGAATTGTGCACGAAATTGAATAAAACGAACAAATTATGAGTTTTTTACATTAGATGTCAGTTTGGCTTTGTGGTATAACCATGGAACACGAAAACATATTAGAAACACTTCCATCTTCATTATACCGTCCCTTGGCCTTTATGGTAGCTGGTCAATTTTCATTCATGACCTCTTTATTTGATCAAACCAATCTTTGGTCGTTGTCTTGAACTTTTTAAAGCTGACCTGAAACAGACACGTTTAGTGAATTTCTAAAGACAGTATGCTATACATGTAACGACATTTATAGAGTAAAACATGTAAAATGTATAAACACTTATTTTCTTCTTTGATGTATGGTCACCCCAAAAAAAAAAACAATGCTATCATTTTTATTAACTGCTATAGTTTTCTTACCCTCTATTAGTTTTGTCGTAAAGTTTTGTTTTCAACCGACCATCATTGTCAATTTCTAGATGTCAGTCAATTTATGAGACGGACTTAACTGTATCTGTTGTATCCTTTATCTCAAGTTCGAAGGGATAGATGTCTTCAAAATAGTCACCAAACTTTGAATTATTTAATGAGAGGACATCATCTATATAGCGGAAAGTGAAGCTAAAAGGATAATGCTAAGTTCTTTTCTTTCTTCCTAAGAAGCTCTTGTATGACGTCAGACTAATATAAATAACGGAACAAGTCGGCAAGAAGAGGAGCACAGTTGGTTCCCATGGGAATTGTCGATTGTTTGTTTGTTGAAAGACACGTCCTTAAAACGTACAAATATGTTGTCAATTCAAAATTATGGACATTCGAAATAAAACACAAACTTGATTTCCTCACACAATTTTAAGTGCAGCAGTTTTTTCTTTTACAAATTTTAAGATAAAAAATACTATCACTATGCCAGATAACACTATAAATCTGTGAATCTTGGGATAAAACAAATAAAATTAAGGCGCGTCCTTATCATTTGTCCGCAATTTTTTTAGCAATAAACAATGAACTAGGTAAGTACATGTACCTGTCAGTCATAAATTACAATGAAAAGAAATAATAAAGCATTGCTTTTTGCATAAAAAAAGACAGCAAACACATTTTATATCATTACCTATGACTGTTGTCCTTTTTAACAACCTTATTTGTTGAAGAATATTTTGGAAGCCACAATACATCATTTGGCCAGTGCATTGTTTGGTTTAGTTTCAAAGGTTCTGTCAATCCACTCAATTTGTAAGGGGAAAAGTTCCATCCAGCCATCAAATTTCTTATAGTATTTTCGGCTTTCCTGTCAGAAAACCACTGCCATTCCATAACAATTCCTCTGACTGACCTCAGTTTTTGCCTCATGAACTGTTTAGCACCTAATAATACCCGATGTTCATGTCCCTCTACATCCATTTTGATGAGGATATTTTTCATAAAGGCTAAGTGAGGTAGACTTAGCAAATCGTCTAGTTTTACTGCTTCTATCGCATCTGTACGCCCATTGTCAAAATAATTCTTGAACTTTGTTTCCATTTTTGAGGAAATACCGTCTGCATTTACATGGCCTAAGCCGAAGTCACCTTTAACTCCATGTTTGAAATCAACTTTTCCATGTAAATCAGACAAAGCATTATAAATAATTGCAACTCTATTAGAAAAATGTCCATATTCAACGGATGCACAGATGTGTTGTATATTTTCCTTTGCGGCATCTATTGCTATGACCTGCCTACCAAACAAGGCTGCCGATAACGTATATATTCCAACATTTGCTCCAATATCAATTAAAGTCAGCTGTGGATCCTTCCGTAACATTGACATAACAGCATCTACATTCTCAGATTCAAAAGAACGCCGTTGTTTAATTGTGCCGGATATTGCATCATACTCAGGGTTGTGAACAAATAGATTAACTGAACCGGCCTCAGAATGAACTTGAGTCAAATAGAAATCTTGATCATTAAAATATTTCTTAGATAGGTTGCATATGTTTGAAAACTGCCATCCACCTCCTGTGAAAGTATAAACAGATAGTGGCTCTTCATTGTCTTGTGACAAAAGTTTATTGTTCGGAGTTAAATTTGAGATTTTTATTTTATGACGCATCTTACCGAAGAATGTTGTTTTCCTGTATTGTTTCTTTTCCTTTTCTGAGCTCAAGTTGATCCCGGCAAAGCCAATAACTGTGAACAGTGTGTAAAACAGGATTACGGCTAGTATAAAGACACATGTTTTCTTTTTCCTGAGCATGAGTTCTTCGTATTATAAGATACATATGCAGAAATGTACTCTACGTCTAAAAAAGAAATAATAGATTTGAACATGGTGGATAACGATCGTAAAGGTAATATATATATATATATATATATATATATATGTTTAATCTTAACTTGTGTTTTTATTACTCAAGATGGAAAATAATATACCATATGTCCCTGCACTCTCAGTTTATAAGATACACGTAAACTAGCGCTTGTTTCATAATGACGATTTTTTAACAGATTTATTAGAAACTACTTCAGTACGGTAACAAGGAAGAAAGGACAATTAGTGAAATTGTTATAATGAGTATATCTTTCTGATCAACTGATTTACCAAAATGCAGTTGGCTGGGCACATGGTTAGTACTTTAAAATAATGGGAACTGCATGCTATTATCGCTTTTGTCATAGATTCTTTTTTTTTTATCATCGGTTTTCATTTTAAGAAAAGATCTCGACTAGAATCTTTTTGTCACTTTAATTCCAGTTCATTCGGATTTTGATATTTTTAACTACTCACTGAAAAAAGACGTCATTAATATGTCTGAAAATGGCTTGTCTATAATTTTGGTTGAGCAAAGCAGTGTACATTGCGTCTTGCCAGACTTGGTTTTTCTGTAGGGTAAAACCGGGGATGTTCGGACAGAGGGGGAAGTTCGGACAGTTTTGTTTCAGTTCTCCCGTCTGATTCGGCATATTTTGTAGCCCATGACATCACATTTGAAGAACAGCCAATGAAAATAGGCTGATTTTGAGTCCAAATTCTCGGGGAATACCCTTATGATTTTTCATTGGTTCAAATTTGAAAAAGTTTTTTCGGCGGCAAAATTTAACTGTAAACACTAAAACCGGAACTACAAAAACGTTAGATCAGTGAATTACTTTGGGAGAATTTTACACATCTTTATTATCTGTATCCTTTCCAAAAACTGTTTTCTATGGTTTTAATGTTCTTCTAATGCCGTTTGTTACTTTTCTATCGGGTTTTAAATGCTTTTTCACAGTGATTTTGTCCCTTTTAATGTGTCCGAACATCCCCATTCCTATCTTCTATTAAAGAGGGGATATTCGGACACATTTTTTCGTAAAGAAATGAATCCAATGACAATTGAGCCAATTTGAAAGTTGTTAAAATTAAATTTCTAGGCGAAATTGCCGCATTGTATCACCCTCTTTCACATTTGTTTTACAAATTCTATTATTTCTGTGGAATTAACACTCTCTTATATTTTCAGTTATAAACAATTTACACATAATAAACTTAACACTCTCCTTAAAAAACTTTTTCAGTTATAAACAATTTACACATAATTTAACGAAAGCATATTATTGTTGGAAATAGTGTCCCCTAGAAATAGACAATTAAACTGCAATATTTTCCTTTACCGAAAACACAGATCATTAAGTTACCATGTCCTTTCTGAAGCTACTGAATTTACGTAATATTGGCACCTTTTCTGTAGTAAAGCAAATGAAAATAGTTTTCACTAGAAAAGAACTTATAACAATGTTAGAAAATGAATGGTTTTTCGATCACCCTAAATTATATCTGCTCGGCCAAGATCTTATCACTCATTGTGAAACATGCAAACATTGCAGTCTACATGAATACGTTTTATGGGAATTGTATCAATCTGAGTATGACAAGGAATCGGAGATTCGATGTGTAGTTTTATTGTGTAAATCTATTTTCAAAAAGATAGATTTCGAAAATGCAAAAATTTGCAAGGATATCATAAAAATGCAAAATTGTGTAGATGAAATTACTGATGACCAACACAACTTTTGATAGTAGGTACCTCTATCCAAGGCTTATGTTCACATTTTCTCTGTGTAAGATAATTGAAGTTAGAATTAAACTGCTTTATCAAAATATGAATTATTTACTTTTTAACAGGTATTAAGTTTCTGATATTGGCGTAGCTCACCATGGTTAGACAACCGAGTTAGTGATCGGAGGCAATTGCCTCGGTAAAAAAAACTTATAGACTTTAATGTCTCTTATGATATTTGAAACCAATTAAAATAAGAAATACATCATTCAACTTGCGCATAAAATACCAGTAATGTTTATGTTGTTCTCAAGTTTTATTCTCGCTATTTCAATTTTATAGTTTTTCACTAGCAGGGAACTTTAAATATCTAAAGGAGACATATATAGTTTTATATATGTCTTTTAAATCATGCAGATATAAAAACACAAACACAAATACTGTTTACATGTGTTATGAAGGCTTAATAATAACATTACTGTTTCCGTTAGAACTTCGGCCTGGTGTCACGATCATCATATGAATAAGTCAAACCATGCATGAAAATGTAAACTGCATGTAAGCTCTTTAGTTCAATTTAAAGACCTCCTAAGAAATATCAAGGCGAAACGCAATAAATACCAGTGCCGTGCCACACTTTACATGCGTTTGAATGTCCCCTCGGTATTATCTTTGGCCTCTCTTTTACATGTGTATGGAGATTTTTGCTGTTCAATATGTCCGTCGTTTTGTGCTGATAATCTATTTGTTGATTCATGACCATTGAATTAATAATAAATTGATCATCACAAAATTATAAAAAAAACCAACTCATTCGTTCCTACAGCCACCGATATCAGAGTGTACGACGGCTTGGAAAAAGTATCAGCAGATTTGGTATTTGAGCTGGTTTTAAGTTACTGCTGGCAAGCCATGAAACTTGTGAGTAGTTATCATGTGATATTTATACCTTTGAGTATGGTATAGTTATAATGGTTAAACTCATACAGTCGATCTGTCTCATAAAAAATACCCCCATACATCTCCTTTTATTCGTAAAGAATTACAAATCTTGGAAGTTCACCGAAATGCATCTATTTTAAAAAGGGGTTAATGTTTTAGAGAAAATGTATGTACTCATCTGAACATCGCAAATGACTTAGGTACCTAGGTTCCAGTAATAAAGTTATAAATCTGAAGTATAACTTAGCGTAAGGCATATTACCATAATTATAATGAAATATAATGAAACATCAGCTATTATTCTTAAAAGTTTATTTTGGTTGTAATCTGTCTGTCTGTCTGTCTGTCTGTCTGTCTGTCTGTCTGTCTGTCTGTCATTTAATCAATCATGCAATCAATCACTATCTGTCCGTCTGTCAATTAATTAATCAATCAATCAATCTATCAATGAGTTAACCTTGACACTTTTAAGATATCAGAATGCCCCATAAGGGAAAGGGGATTTACGGACAATATGATGTTGAGGCACTAAAAAATGCAGTTGATGCAGTCAAAAGTGGAATGTCAATTAGAAAGACAGCAACACGCTATTGTGTTCCCAAATCAAGTTTGAACGACAGAACAACTGGGAAGAAACCAATAGCACTAGAATTTGGTAGAAAGCCAACCATACCAATTGAAATTGAAGATAGAATGGTGGAGGTAGTCTTGACATTATCAGAAAAGGGCTTTGGAATAACGAAGAGACAGATGTTGGCACGCGTTGGGACTCTAGTCAGACAAAAGGATCTAAAAACTCCTTTTAAGAATGGTATTTCTGGAAAGGACTAATGGAAAGGATTTAAAACTAGACATCTGGCAGTTGTAATCAGAAAACCAGAGAAACTTTCAACGGTAAGATCAAGGATGCTGAATGCAACTGTTGTTGGTAACTATTTCAAGGAACTACAGACTGTAACACAAGAACTTCCCCTACATCAATCTGGAATATGGATGAAACTGGGATCAATCTGGAACATCAGCCTGCTGGAGTATTAGCGCGGAGGGGTGCTAAATCAGTTCCTGGTCGTGTAGGAAATACACGTGAAAACATAACCCTCCTTCCTTGTGTCAATGCCGCAGGGGAAAAAATGCCAACATTCATTGTAGCAAAAGGCAAAACACCGCGTTCTCTGAGATCATATAACATGCATGAAGGACCAGAAAACGCCGAGTGGCGTTTCCAGCAAAAAGCATCGATGGATGATGAGCTGGGTAAGGATTGGTTTAATAACCTGTTTCTAAAACACTGTGGTCCCCAGCGACCACAGGTTCTAATTTTCGATTCGCATCACTCGCACGAGACATTGGGACTGTTAGAAGCAGCCCTTGACAACAGAATAGAGATACTTGAATTTCCACCCGATACCAAACACTTCTTATGTCCTCTTGACCGCACAATGTTTGGTCCTTTAATGAAGGAATATGGGTACTTATGTACCGAATACATGTCATCTGACCCCAACAACATTGTCAACAAGGAATCAGCCCCTAAAATAATTAAACAGGCATATGAGAAAGTCTTTTCAAGAGTCAACATAATAGCGGGGTTTGAATCAACAGGAATTTACAACTGGAATCAATTAGCCATTCCCAAAGAAGCTTTCAGCCCTTCAGATGCATTTGACAGGAACAACAATGGCCAATCAAAGAATGATGAACACCATCTTCGATGGGTTTTGACTAGCGTGCAAATTGTTTCGAACAACTCTAGTCCAGTTGTTACACTGACCCCAGATGTGACGCCCATTGCTCCACCAGACAATATTCAACAAAACTTAGAAGTTGTGGTTGAAATACACAAATCAACGGTCCCAAGCTTCGTGCTAACAGTGGCTGAAAATCAGGGCTCGGCAAATGACTACACAGTCGATTTCGAAAGCCCTAATGATTCAATTTTGAACACTTCAAATGATCCCATGATATCACAAAGCTTGTCTGATTTAGATGCTGCAAATATTTTGGCAGCACTCAATGATGGTCACATGGAAATAACTGCAGGAGAAACCGTGGAATCTTCACTTAATCAAGACATCACTGGTTGGTCTTCTCAATGGAATTCAGAGCTGGAGAATATTTTTAAGTTGCCGCCTATAATTCCAAAACCGCCTAAGAAAAACTGTAAACGGTTAATTTCCCATAGACTGTTAACGAGACCACCAATACTGAATGAAAAACGAAATGCAAAGCAGGAAAAGGACGATAAGTGTAAGAAATTGAAAGCAAAGAAGGATGAGACGTGTAACAACTTAAAAGTAAAGAAGGAGAAAAAGAAATTGTTTAAAAGTAACATACTTGAACTAATGACTTTTACAAATATATTTTTGTAATAAAGACTGTTCTAACAACATTAATTTTAATCAAATGATTCACATAACCAGATCGTAATAGTGTCATCTATATGAATGACGACAAACAATACTGGAGATGTATAAATACTAAATAGACACGCTAGATTTATTAAACTTAAACCTTCTCTAGTTTTGTTGCTTAATTCTATGATATGTACTAGATAATATTTGTATTAATGATAATATTAATTGTTTTGATGTTCTGAAAGATACTACTACAGTTTAGTAGTGCCAAAAGAGAAAAATATAGTTCAATGGTTCGTTGTCAAGAACTTGTGCTGAGAAAAATGTTCACTTCTAAGTATTTAACTGTACACCTACCTTAATTACTGTCATTATACTTTGAACAATGGATGAAGAGATTCCTATATTACAAAATTTGTTCTGAGGGGAAAATTTAAAACTTGGGATGCGTTTGAATCGAAACTTAAACAATATAAAAACACAAATTTTATATAGTTATACAATGGTTTGTGATGGCTGCTTGGAGTGGTTTCACCAAAAATGCGTCGGACTAAAACATGCTCCAAAAACTGCTTACTGGATTTGTAGAAACTGTCAATGTAAATCAAAATTTAAATAAATGGGGAATGTGTCCATGGGACACAGATGATGCCCCCGCTTTCACATCATATAAAGTTATAAAGGGTTATAACTGAAGAACGGTAAAAGTGACACTACCCAAATTTGTACTTGATCTGAGTTTTGTAGGGATAAGTATTGTGTATAAGTTTCATAAAATTTGGTTGAGGCAAACTAAAGTTAGAGAACGGAAACCAACTTCGGGACGTATGGACGGACGGACGGACGGACGTACAGACGGACAAGGGTAAAACTTAATGCCCCCTCCGCTACGGCGGGGGCATAAAAATTGTATGCAATATAGTAAATGTTAAATTAAAGGTTTTATTTTAATACATATTACTAGTCCCATCGTACATTGCAGTCTTTCCTGTAACAATAACGCATTGTAACCGTAGATACAAATATCATTGTTACATTCGTAATTAATCAATTCCATACCCATCCCTGCATTCCGGCAATTAGTCTCCAATGTAACAATATTTTTTTTTATTATTGTTACATTTCCATGTAACCGTAGCCAGTGCCTACAAACTAAAGTAAAAACTGACGAAATGCATCAACAATACCAATATTTCACGTAAAAATGTCAAAAAACACCTTAGTATATTCAATATAATATAGTTAAGTTGCCTGGATAACTGATATACACTACTGACACCACGTTCAAAAACTATAAATAAGCATATTAAGATCGTTAAAATTCCTAACATTCTATAATCCAACGTGCTGACATAGCCATGTCGTTATCGTCCGAACTTAACCGAAACAATGTCCGAACATACCCGAAACTGTCCGAAGTTCCCCATAGGTGGTTTTACCCGTGGATTTGCATTCCCTTTATTGGTGATCAGGGATATTTTTAACAAAGATGAATAAATCATAACTACAATATGCCCACTAATATGTGACAAAAAAATTATACATTTGGACAACGGAAATGCACTTTCGGAGCCTGTTTCTATAAAGGTGTCCGAACATCCCCGGAAAACAATAAACTTGCGGAAAAGATGGTATACCGCAAACATGAGGTGCACAAATTTGTACACCATATCCGGAATTCAACAATTAATGTCTCTTCAGTGATGTTATGAATCGAAACGGTATTTGGAGGGCCATATAATTTACCTCAATTTAGGATAGACTCTTGAATTTTGAAGAGTCGAAATAGGATGAACGGATTATTAAACCCGAAGGCAAATATATAAGAATAAGAATGAAGTACCACACCCACCACCAATATTCCAACTCCTACGTTAATAAAAGACGTTCAAACAATCATTATGACAAACTATAATGATCAACACATCGTCCTCATAGCTGACAAAATAACAAAAAAATCATACGGCTCTCTGGACCTACCTGCATCAGAAAAGTCACATCATGCGGTCAGTTTTAACCAGAATTACGTGCGCAAATAATTAATAAATCAAACAATTTCTTGATATTTACTTGTTGTTAAGTCAATTCTCTTCAGGTATTATACGAGTAGTAAATCCAGTACTGTTCAGCGGCTTTTCAGTCGATTCAGTAGGATGTTGTTTTGTACATTTCAGTGATAACTACTGAATAGTCTGAACCTAGACTGGACCTATCTCACTTGACTATTAGCGAATTGTCTGATCAGTGCTGAATATACAGCAGTGGATAAGTCTGAAAATTGACTTAAAGATTAAACATGACTTTAATTATTTATTGTTCATTCTTTTAAAAACTTTTCAGACCAATTACGACCATTTCGTTTCAACATTTTACATCAAAACAGATTGTTTAAGATGTATAAATGTATTGTATTATGTACCAATTTTGAAACACCTTTTCCTTTTGAAGATTTGTGAAACAAAAATACTGATGACAAAACTAATTTAGCACAACCTATGTTTAAAAGATAAGTTATGAAGACTATATTGAAATGATACATAAATATCGGCTAGAGAATGCACTTATTTACATATAACGGTAATTTTTGCACACATTTAATCAATAGTAAGATGTTTTCTTACCTAAACCTCGAATAAATAGTGTTGTTTACCATTTTTTGCTGGCATCCATAGTTTTACCATAACACGCCTTCAATATTCTTTAATCAAACTTAAAGTAACATTCAAGTAATAGCCCGTGTCGGGTATGTAAATTATCTATCACTGGTACAGAATCGATACAGGTAACTTTAATATAAATTTATACATGTATCTGTAAATTATTTTACTAGAATTTTAAAACGATAAAATACAAGCAAATACCTACCAATTTTCAGCTTGATAGCCTTTCGATTATGACATTTTTTTTAATGTGTCACTAACCTCTCTTTTACTAGAGAAATTTAAGTACGAAATTATTTCAGTATATATCTATTGTTTTTGTTTTGAATAAATATAACAATAAATTCATCAAGCGTTTAAGATAAGCTTACAAATGAACAATACGAACCAGCTATTTAAACAACTGCCCAATCAAACATATTTTCACTTATTTTTTATGATATGAAAAAGGAAAGTTGTACTCACATATTGTGAAAAATGAAAAATAATATCCATTATTAATTGATATTGCTTTTTATGGTTCTATATTTAGTCCTTTTTGTTGTTTCGGTCTAATAATACGTTGCAAAAATAATATGTCGTATTACACTATAAGTATGGTAGCGTCTTGTTTGACAAATAAAAATTGTTGTTGTTGTTGTTGTTGGTATCTCATGTCTGTGTAAGTTTTACCATATACATATGGTATCTAATGTCTCTGTTAGTTTTACACTATACATGTAAGTATGATATCTTTTGTGTCAATTAGTTTTACACTAAAAGTATGCATTAGTATCTTAAATTTATGTAAGTTTTACACTTTAGTTATGGTATCTCATGTCTTTGTAAGTTTTACGCTATTAGTATGGTATCTTGTATTTGTAGGTTTTACACTATAATTATGGTACCTCGTGTCTTTGTAAGTTTTACACTATGATATGAAAATAAGAAGATGTAGTATGATTGCCAATTAGACAACTCTCCACCAGAGACCAAATGACATAGAAGTTAACAACTATTATAGGTCACCTTACGGTCTTCAACAATGAGCAAAATCCATACCATATTGTCAGCTATAAAAGGCCCCGAAATGACAAATGTAAAACAATACATACGAGAAAACTAACGGTCTGATTTATGTATAAAACAATGAACGAAAAACAAATATGATATACAGCAACAAACGCCAACCACTGAATTGCAGGCTCCTGACTTGTGACAGGCACATACAGAATGTAGCTGGGTAAAACATGTTTGCGGGCGCCCAGCCCTTCCCTAACCTGGGAGAGTGATGTTGCAGCACAACATATGAACAAACTTTAAAAATCAGTTAAAAATGGCTTAACTCATTAGATCGATACAAAGCAGAAAACAAGTAACAAAAAGACAGACCGGACGTGGCAAGGTATTTATTCATCCCCAGAAAAAAAAAGACACTAAGCACAGATCTGAGAGTACTCGCACTTGCTGACAGCTAGTTCAAAGCCAATAACAACTAATAAGAAAAAGCATATATCTATGACTAAAGTATCAATCAGTACACATCCAACATCAGATGGATTGAGTGTAAAGACGTCATTACCTTGTGCAATGTCAAAATACCTGCATCGACAGATTTTAGAACCATAAAGGTGCATATTTATATGAATATAACAATAGTATTAGATTAATTTTAATTAACTGCTAACAAAATCAATATTTATACCAATAAAAACAGTATTTAAAGATCTAATCATAGTGTTGAAATGGTAACCTTTTATAATAAGTTTATTTAAAGGATCGATAAGTTTACCTGGATCGTATCTAAATTTCCGGGCTCGGTAAATAAAATCTCCGTAAAAATTAGGATAAATTATCCCGTTTGAAATAAGGTACAGACAAACATCAAAACCAAATCTTTGTATCTATGGAAGAAATTAGTAAAGGTTTTAAGCAATTTGTGGTGTGTGCCTGACTTAATTATTTACCAATAATACATAGATTACGTTCATTGAAATCAAAAACGTCACTACAGACACGGGTATAGCGACCGAGTTGTGATATATAAACACCGTAAGATGATGCCAAAGGAACATCACCATCCAAAAATGGAATATTTACAATGGGGTAAGAAAAGTCGTCTCTTTTGTCGTAAATTTTTGTGTAGAGTTTCCGTTGTAAAACTGAAATAACTTAATCTAGGAAAGGACAGTTATTACCGTTTATATTTGAGTTATTTAAAGTAAGTTCCTTTGGGTAAATTTCGGCAGTATATTTAAAAAATTCTTGATCATTTAACGAACAAATATCATCACGATAACGATAAGTGTTGTTGAATTTATCAATTAAATGCAATTTAGGCGTGTCTTTACTGAATTTGGCCATAAAATGTGATTCATAACAATACAAGAACAAGTCTGCTATTAAAGGGGCGCAATTGGTGCCAATTGGAATACCTACAATCTGTCGAAACACTTTATTGCCGAAATGTACAAAAATGTTATCTAGGAGAAAATTAACTGCTTCAATCATCTCATCATACCCCCAGTAAGTATATCTAGCATATTTACCTTTCTCATTAGAGGAAAAGGCTTTAAATGAGTAACAGCAAATAAATTTGCAATCAGATTTTTCAAACGACCATTTGATCAAATAGGAAAACTTTTGTTTGATAAGATTGTGTGGAAGTGTACATAAAAAGTGTTAAAAGTCTAAACAGTCAGCAGAATCAAAAGGACCATCAAAAGCATGTAATTCATTTAAAACATCCAAAGAATTTTTTACACTCTGAAAATGTTAATTCCACTATTTCCATATGTTTTATTACAATTAGTTAATGATACGTTCTTTGATAGTAGTTAAGGAACTAGTTAAAAGCACTGAATTATTAGTTGTACATGTAGAACACTTACAATGCCGAGATGAAACGATCTTTTATGGGGTTTTTGTGTAGTTTAGGTAACCAATACATAGTGGGGATCTTCAAATGTTCAGAAGAGGCCTTAAGCTGTGATGTGGTTATGACTTTTTGTGGAGCGTACTGACCTGAATGTTGAAAAATTTATGATTTCATTCTTTTGAAGAACTTCCATGTAGTATTTACGTCATACAATGTACTACCACCACATTGTTGGCTGCTTTGTCGGCCGGTACAAATACAGAACGCTTTGCTAGTACTTGAAATGTAAATGTATATAGTGTTTCTTATTCTAGAAATAGGCGTATTATGTACTCTTTTATTCATTTCTAATTTTTTTCAAAATGTGATGTTCGAATACCCACAACATTTATTTAGATAAGTTTATCAGACTTTCCGGTTTACACCAATTTTTACAATACAATGAAAGAGCGTCTTTTATGACCTGACGACACTGTTTCCAATCTAGTTTAGATGGAGGACGATATTTTTATTTTTTTTTCAAAAAGTTTTTACCCTCTCGGTCTCGAACGATATTGAGGTCCCCCGTAATAACATGGCCATAGGTTGTGTCACTCCTTGAAAATATCATGTAATTTACTAATTCGTATTTTACCAAGTTTACATAATAATTGATGCCTACCATTGTTTTTAAATATAGATAGGAGATGTCAAGTGTATGCTTTATACCAGTCTGATGTTTAATTCGTTGATTTCGATTTCGTTTGCCATGAGACCTATTATTACGTTGTCCTTTATCAACAATATTCATGATATCAATAGAAGACATTTTTAGATATGTTACCTTGTCCCATTATATTGTCAATCAGACCAGGGGATGATGTCTGCAGTCGTTTAATCCAAGACATTTCGATAATGTTACAGGAATCTTCAAATTGTTTATGGGATTGTCCTTGTTGTTTCTGGATCGTTTCGAGTGGTTAGAATTTTATAAATTTGATATTGCGTGTGTGTTCTAAATGTTGGTAATTTATACTTTTGAATTTCTTAGGTTTTCGGAAGCGGTATAGAAGTTCCTGTGTTCGTCTAAAACATTTCCGTCCTGTTTGTCCTACATATTTTATACTACACTTTGTTCAAGTAACCAGGTAAATGAGGCTTTGAGTTTTTTATGTAATCTCACAGGAAAAGGAGAGCGAAAAAGCCCTCCCGTTCACTGGACCTAACAGTATTACTAGAAGATAATCTAGAGCAGGTTAGGTATTTTCTGGCATTGCACGGGAATACTTGTGGATATCCACATGCATTTTTATTTAATAATCTAGCTGCAGGGGCATTGTCACCTTTGACACAAGGTAAAAAGTGCTTAAATTCAGAAGGTGAATTTCGATTGACGGTGGCTGAATTTATATTATGGCTTCGTTTTTTTTGAGATTTTAAATATCCCTGAAGCAGTGGTGTATTTAGCTTTCTTGCCATTAAATTTTCTAAAAATCATGATATTTAAAGGGTGATGAGAAAATTAAACGGAGCCGACAGTTATGACATTGAAAGAAGATTACAATAACGGAATATATAAACAATTTATAAAGAATTCTGATAAAAACTATGATGAACAGCCCGACAGAATGACGTTAGTAAGACAAAACAGACATATAGCAAACACCGGCCCGAGAACTCAGTTATTTTGTAGTGCATAAGTATGGTATCTTGTCTTTGTAAGTTTTACACTATAAGTATTGGTATCGCATGTATTTGTACGTTTTTCACAATAAGCAGTCTATCTCATGTCTTTTAAAGTTTTACACTATACGTATGCTATCATTTGCCTTTATAAAAATAAGAAGGTGCGGTAGTATTGCCAATGAGACAACTTTCCATCAGAGATCAAATGACGTAGAAGTTATGCAATGACAGTTTTTTTACATTAAAAAACTTTGTTTATTTCATGTTCTAAATACGGAGGGATCTGAGTCTTGTATTCATCAACATAAGAACTTTTATGAATTGGAGGAACTATTGCAATAAACCATAAAGCAATCAACATTTGGATACAACTGGACCTTTGTTTCTATGTAAGTCTGATGCACCAGTTGCACCTGTTATTTCAACACTCCCGTAAAATTGGCTCTGTCGTCCATTGGTTTATACTCTCGGTACTGTAACATGTACTCTTAATTCGGTTGAAGATGGACAACATTTTATTATTAGTTGTCCAGTATACAATGATTATAGAGAGAT